AGCAAACAATGACTATTATAAAGGGTTGAATTAATAGTCTTACACTTGCTACAGTTGCTGTATTGATCATTACACTACACAATCCCAAAATGAGACTTTTAACCCTTGAATGCAGCCTAACTGTTATGTCAGCCTATTAAAGCAACATCAATTTAACAAATCGAAATTGCTTTTCTATGGTCTGTTTCTGGCGCGCGCCGGCTCCGTGCGCGAGCGATTCGTCATTTCATTGGTCTGTCCTACGATTGACAACGGCTCTCGACCAATCAGCGCACGAGAATTCTACTGGTTATGGTAAAAGTGACATTGCTTTTTACAACGATGGTCACAGTAAACAGTATAATAAAAACAAAAATGTAAAAATGTAAAACCTTAACCCTATGAACAAACACAGCAGTGATATTGGATACAAAAAGCAAATTGAACAACAGCAAAACAGACCACCACCAAAACAAACAAGAAAACATTTTTTTATTTTTACAAAATAAGATATGATTTTGATAATAATATCCTACCTCATTTGATATCAAAATATCTTTTATACCACCAACCACCTGAAACATTAGATCTACAATTAGTTACAGTTAGATCTCTACAATTAGTTACAATTAGATCTACAATTAGTTAGTTTTTACCAAGCATCAATGATTCCGGAATTAAACACTGACCCTGTTCCAGAGAAAATTCGTTGAAATTCRATACCCAGTTCCAGAGAAAAATYGCTAAAAATGAYAMCCTACAGTTCCAGAGTAAAATCACTGAAAACAATACCCTGGTTGGCGGCACGTYCCGTATAGCAAATTAGGGGAGTACCTCCCAGGGCTTTTTTATATTAGAACACAGAAAAAAAAACAGTCCAGCAAACAAATGTAAACAGGCAATCCACAATTAAGTGGTGACTTTGCATTTTCTAAAGGTTGACAGCTTTTTAAATGCAGGTTTTATCCTATCCTTTTTCAATAAATCACCACTTTCAATAAATAGTTCATTTTTAACATTGTTATATGCTAGGGT